GGTCGTATTTGTAGATGATGTTTAGGATAGGGGCTAGGACTAAGCCCTGTGATACTCCTGCTAGAGAGGTAAATGGGTCGGACAAGGCGTCGCCCACTTTGACTGTGATGATTCTCTTTGAGAGATAAGAGCGAATGTGCTTGGCGACGTTGAGGGGAAGACCTATGTTCATTAGTTTTTTATTAGTGAGGCATGCCAGACTTGATCATAAGCTTTTTGAACATCAAGAAGAATGACTGAGCAGAATTATTGTAAATTTACTGCTGTGGCAGCAGTGGTGTGAAGTGAAGTGAGATCGTCTTGAGTGGAGTGGTTAAATCTAAAACCATGTTGGGATTAAGGTATGATATATCATTCTTCGCAGATTTCCCAGATGCGTTCCTTGAATAAAAGTTTACCTGGTACAGATATGATGGAAATTGGTCGGTTTGTGTCTATGGATTTAGGAAATTGAATTGTGTTTGAGGACTTCCAGGCAAGTAAAAAGTAAGATAGGCGTTTAAGAGATGTGTGAGGATGGAAAACATGGTTTCAGGAAGATTTTTCAGCGCTCTTCTGTTGAAGTAATCCGGCCCTGGGGCCGTGTTTTGACCTAATTTACAGGCATATTGAATATCTTGGAAGTGAATGTGGTAGTGAGCGGGTTTTTGACATCCAATGGGGGAGGTAGGGGAAGCTAGTGTTTGTCTGGTTTCGGAATTGTTGGTCAAATTGTAGATTGTTTGGTGTTCTGAATATGGCTTTAAGATGGGATTTGTGGATTAAGGCTTTCTCTTCAGGTGTATTACACCGTCGATTTCAATGTGGCAGTGGGTTTTGGATTTTTCGCCAGTGATAACTCGGAGTTTGTCCCAAAACTATGAACCTTGTCTGAAGTCCAAATTTGAAGTGGTATTGATCAATTTTTATTGTTTATGTTGATTTTTTTGGAGCCTGTTTAGGGCAGTCAGACGGTTCAAGTCAGACGGTTCCCTTCTGTTTTGAGGACAGTGTCGTGTGTACGAATATATTGTCTATAGAGTTGGCAATTTTGGTAAATGTTATTGACAGAATTGACTTCGATTTTTCTTAACCTTACTTCGCTTGGAATTATCTAGTTGTAGTGTTTTTAAAGAAACTTGCTCAAATTTTCCTTTGATAATTTGGATTTAAGTATATTCGGGCTTAACATTGCTTCACACAAAGCGTGGTTAAATATCTCTTGCGAACTTGATTTAATATTAGTTGTTTGAAAACGCTTGGGTAACGAATTCTTTCTTTTTCTCTCTCTCGGTTAAGTATATATATATTTTTTTGGTATAAAGCAATTTTGCAATGCTGAACTATTTAAAATTTTTTCTCACACGGTATCAGCAAAAAAATCTCCTTTAGTATATAAACTAACCTATTTTTGGATTAAAGGGTATTTAAAGCATCGACGTGTGTCACAAAATTACCTAACGGTAGAAACATTATTTTAAAAAGTACCGAAAAAGGTAAAACAAAAAAAAACAACTCAAATCACGTCAAAAAAAAAAATAAAACAACTTTAAAAAATCCAAGTTAATCTACAATAATGTCTAGGGCTTCAAAACTGTATGAATTGAATAAAAAATTGCAGAAAATTCATAATATTTAAAATATAAATAAAAATTATTTTTAAAATACCTTATATTTTTGGATATTTTTTTTTTCAATACAACTAAAAGAAATGGGGCCAACTTATTTAAAAAAAAAATTTTCAAACACCAAAGTATTATATTTGTTCTGTAATTAATTTTAATTAGATAATGGCATACTTTTTAGTTTTCTGATGATATTTATGTAACTTAAAATATTTATACTCATTACTTCTAATGGCATACTTACAATTTTACTGCAAGCTGAGCAAAACACTTTTCCTAAATCTATAAACAATTCTGGATATGGCGTAATCTACGCAGACACATTTGCTTCTCTAGACATTTTCATTAAACCCGATAAAACTTTTTCCTACGACCCCTATGAAAAAGTCAGTCAATAATATTTAAAAACGCACAGTAACGATTTAAGTCATAATAATGCATAAATTAATAATCTATCTGAATAGATTGTTTTGGTTTATTCGATTTGTTCGAAAGATTATTAGTTTTTGCAAGAAATAATTATTTACTTCTTAAATTACTTATTTGTGTATCTAAAAAGTGCACGAAAGTTTTGTCAGCTCCTCATACACTAAAACTATGCAACCAGTTATACAGTCGATGTCATCTGATCAATGGTTTGAAAATGTAAATAAATACTATTTAGAAATATGTTTAGTTTATGTTTTAAATTGTTTGTTTATAAAAATTATTTCGAAACTTCTCAATAAGAGGCAATTTTTGTGTGAAAATTTAAGTAAAAATGGGATAAATAAACCGACCGCGACCCGACATTCAGGTATTTAAAAATTACATCTAAGTATGCTATGATTACCTAGACCAGAAAATTTCAAATTTAAAAAAAAATGTGCTACATGTATTCTTCCTGTTAAACATAGTGTGTGTTTAAATATTTTGACAAATTTCGAAAGTGAAGGCGAATATTCTATGGAATGTACTCCGCCAGAGATATCGGCAGCTGCTCAAATTACCTCGTTAAAGTTATTGCCAGAAAAATCAAAAGATATGTACATCGATGCCTACAACCAATTTATGCAATAGAGAAAAGACAACTTTTTCTGAAAATGTTTTACTAACATACTGTTACGCAGCACCCTGCAGTAGCCTACGGCTATTATAGAAAACGTACAAATAGAAAAAGAAGTGGAATGTTACTCATTGCCCTACAGTGTGTTGCGGTCGTCATAAGTAAAAGTACAAGTAAAAGAAGTATAGTCCAGAAATGTCATTACTTGTCAAGAATATTCTAGACAACAGTTCGCAAAGGTTCGAGAAGCTACATAAGGATGATCCTGATGTCAGTTTGGAGTTTTATGATAGACGTTACATGTTAATGTTATCAGTTGAATAGTTGTTGTAATAGTTGAGTTTAAATAAATTAAGATACCAAAACCTGCGTAAAATTGGCGACAGTGGTGGGATACAAAACAAAAGTTCATGGTAAATACTACATCCACTGAGTACGAAGCAGGCATGGATACTTTAGGCCCACCAGCATGGTTTTTGAAGATAGAAGAGGAAAAGGAAAGACGTAGGAAGAAAAAAGAGGAGGAAAAGGAAAGGCAGAGGAAGGAAGAAGGGGAGGAAAAGGAAAGGCGGTAGGAAGGAAGAGGTGGAGGAAATGGAAAGGCGTAGGAAGGAAGAGGAGGAGGAAAAGGAAAGTTGAGAAGAAAGGAAGGAAAGGCGTAGGAAGGAAGAAGAGGAAAAGAAAGGGCGAGAAGAGGAGAAGGAAACCCGCAGGAAGGACGAGGAAAAAGGGAAGGAAGAGAGACACAAAAAATCTCAGGTAGAAATTATGAATGCTTTGCTAAAAATCCAGGAAACCTTTAAGCAAGAGATTGGTAAACTCAAAATTAGAGTAGATCTTTTAGAACAACAACAAGAACCATGGAATGGAGCTATCTTCCCAATGTGAACTACGTTGAATTTACTTCCCGCTGACAGTTGAATGCGGCAGATCAGTTTGTTGATTTTCCTTAATGACGGAGTAGGGGCCTTCCCGGTTCCGCTGCGATTTCTGACGAAGTCCTTCTCGCTGCTTGGGATTGCACAGCCATCCATTGTTGCCTCTCTCAAAATGTGTGTCTGTGGCACGCCTGTCGATTCTAGCTTCTGTTTTATCTGTGTGGGCTTTCAGTCGTTCCTGAGCGAATCCATAGACCTTTGTCCTGCCATTGCATACATCACATTTTTTTACACCTGGGATTTAATTTCCCTCATTTTTGCGCAAGAAGATCTGGATATGAGTTTTGCCGCTTCATATTCCTGAGCTGCAATCAGTTTCTCCTTCAGCGTCTTGTGATGTTCTAGACGAAGGACTTGCTGCATTTCCGCATCTTGTACTCCATCAATGAATGCCTCTATTCCGATTTGTTCTTGGAAATCTTTGGGCGCCTGCGGATAGGCCAGATGAACCAATCTTCTTATGTCAGCCCCAAATTCATGTAGACTCTTATTATGTTTCTGACTACGAATCTTTAGCTGGCTTTTAAATACCCGTTTCAAATGCTACTGGCCATATCTTGTCTTCAAAGCTTGGACGAGAGATGAATAACTGGGTTCTTCTTGAGGAAGTAACTGTAAAACGGTTGCTGCTTGTCCTCGCACCGACACTATCAATGCAGCCGCCTCCTCCTTTTTAGCCCAGCCATTGGCTCTAGCTGCAGCTTCAAATTGGAGGCGATACGTTTTCCATGCTGTTTGACCGTCAAACGTGGGTGGCTTAACGATCTTGCTAGTATGGATTTGTGAAACTGGGTGTTGAATATGGCTTGGTTCGATTACAGATGAGAACGAGGTGGTGTTTTCAGCTTCTCTGTTGCTTATCGAAGCTAGGCTACGAATTCTTCTTTCTAACTCAACTAGTTCAGTTCTAATTTGCTTTATGGAGTACCCTGTATATTAAATATAACGTAGACATCAGAATTTAAAGTTGAAGGCCTATCTTAAACGAACAAATGATGGTTAAATGCAAAAAATAGCAAAAGTACTAACTTTTCAAGAAATTATTGAATTTCTAGTTGAAGTACCGGACAAAGATTACCTTTTTACAAAAGTAAGTAAGTAATTGTAATTTTTTCCTATATTTTATACTATCTTTTTAATCTATATTTTAGGTAGTGCTAGTTATAGGAATATCAAGTGCTTGCCGTAAACAGGAACTAAAACAACTAATTGTTGATGATATAAATGACTTGGGAAGTGCAGCAATAATTACGTTGAAAAATACCAAAAAGAATTTAAATTCTTTCTCGTTTAATAAGTTTGATAACTTTTACCGAAATAACAAAGCTGGTACTCAGTAATTAATCACCCAAACGATAAAACGTGTTATTTATTATAATTCTAATTTAGTTAATTTAATTATAAAATACTTACATGTAATGAGTTAAGGAAGAAATCTAATGTAATTATAATTGCCGCTGGTGGATTCCATTGTATCTGTAAAAATAAAATAAAACAATTAATAGATAATCACCTCGAGAATTAAAAATATAAAACGGGAACATAGTTTTAGAGAATTTCTTTTGATCAACGAGGCGTGGCAAGAAATATAAAACGAAATTTGGTTGTTATTGAATCCATAGGAAATGTAAAAAAGTGTTTTCCTACGACCATATACGAAAATGATAATTTGCACACTTATTTGTTCTCAAGAAAGTAGCTTAAATCACACGCGTACTGAAATATATATCACACACCTATTGAAAAATAGCAAAAGACACATGTTTTGAAAAGTAAAAAAATATCGTTCTATGACCTGTGACATGTACGTCAAAATTATCATTATAATTGTCATTACAAATTTTTATATAACATCAAATGAGCAATAAAGATTTTTATATACGTTTTTAAAATTATAAAAAATAATAAAACATGTTTACTCACTATTATTTATCGAATATTGAAACAAAATTTTCTATTAAGGTACTTCTGGAAAGAAAATAATTTTCTTCTTCTTTTCCAGTGTTATTTTCGGTTTCAAATACGACAATGTAAATTTTTGAGGTTATGTTTATGTTAGTGTTTACAATACACCTTTCTGTAGGTGTCTATTAGTTTGAAAATATTTAAAGTTTATTGTGATTTGTGGGTGGCACAAAATTGATCGGAAAACATTTGATCGAAATGGAAATTTGATCGAAAATACATTATATCGAATGGCATTTGATCGAAAATACATTTGGTCGAATAAAATTTGATCGAAGATATATTTTATCGAAAAGACAATAGATCGAAAATTCATTAGATCGAAAGGACAATATATCGAAAATCAACATTAAAAATAGTAAAATATCAAAAATTCAAACGATACCATTCAACCGTCCGTCTAATGCCGCGTTTGAGAATCCACATCCGATGCATCTAAGATGTTGTGAATTTTTTATCACGTGATAGAGAATTAGATCTGAATGTAGATGTAATAAACAAACGCTCTAGACTTTATTTGGTCACGTGATAAAATGTCAATGACAAGTTAGAAGTTTATACTTATTAAATTTGACTTTTGAGACTACACATCAACCTAAATTTGAAATATAAACAAAAATTAAACAAACTAATCATTTTAATATTCATGCTAGCATAAACAAAGGAAAATTGACAAACTTGGCTTTACAGAACACTTACTTTCTGGCATGGAACGAACATCTCCTTCACATCTCATTTCAAATCGAGATGTAAAAAATGTAATCTGAACAGGTACATCTGGGATAAACAAACGCAGATGTAGATGTAGTAGATGTATCCGATGTGGATAAAAAACGCTCGAGATATAAAAAATGCATCGGATGTGGATTCTCAAACGCGGCATAATTCCTAGTACCAGGGAAACTAAACTAATGGCAAATTTCAAATGTTATCCTTACAATACTGTTAATTTAAAATTAATTATTTTATAGCTAAACGGTTATTTGGATTAAACGGTTATTTGGATTAAAAAATGTGATTAATTCGCACAAAATAAGTATTTCAATAAGGTCGAGTTGTCTCCTGATGGGATATTTTAGGTAAATTATTTTAATTTTTTTTTTAAATAAAAAATTTAATTAATTTACCTAACCTGTACGATCTGGAGCCGTCGCGGTTTACTACGCAAAAAGTATAGAAAAATTAGAAAAATTTTAACAAAATTCTAACTAATTTACCTAACCTGTGCGGCCTGGAACCCTCGAGGGTGGCTTTGCAAAAAAAATTATACAAAAAAATGGAAAAATAAAGAAAACCTAACCTATTTACCTAACATGAAGCAACTCAACTGATTGCTGTGACACAGGTTAGGTTAGTTAAGTTTTAGGTAAGTTAAATAAGTTTTTAATACCTAACTAATTTACCTAAGCTCTGTCAGAGTAATCAGTTAAATTGCCCCAGGCCGCACAGGTTAGGTAAATTAGTTAGGTTTTCTTTATTTTTATTTATTTTTATAAAACTTAACTAACTTATTTAACCTGTCTCAGAGCACTCAGTTAAATTTCCCCAGTCTGAAAACGTCGCGGTTTGCCTCGCAAAAAAAATTATAAAAATAAAAAAAACTAATTTACCTAACCGGTACTATTGAAATTAAACTAATTGCTCTCGCACAAGTTAGTATAGTTAGTTATGTTACTTGAGTTTATTTTATTTTTTTATTTTTCGTTTTTGCGAAGCAACCAGCGATGATTCTAGGCTACACCGGTTAGGTTAATTAGTTAAAATTTTGTTTTCATTTTTCTTATTATTCTATAATTTTATGAATAATTGGTTTTTGGATCAATTGCTTTTTCTATCAAATCTATTTTCGATCAATTTTCTTTTCGATCATTATTCTTTTCGATCATTTTTCTGTTCGATCATTTTTCTTTTCGATCAATTGTTATTCGATAAAATGTTGTTTCGATTAAATGCATTCGATCAAATGTTTTCGATTAAATGTATTCGATCAAATGTTTTCGATCAATTTTGTGCCACCCGTGATTTGTGTTCAAATACATACTAGTGTCTACAAGATAATTCAAACTTTAAAATTAAGTGTTATAAAGATTACTGGTTAATGCATTTAAAAGAAAGTGAAGGAAAACTTATTCTTCATAGCTATTGTGATTATACTAAACCCAACAGGTAAGTTTAAAGTTTAAAAATTTGAAAAATTACATTAAGTAGGGTGTGGTATTAATTGTCAAACACACAAGCAGTCATTTTGTAAAATTTTATTTTATTGTAAAATTGTACTGAGCTCGCAAAAAATGAATTCTAGTAATTCCGAATGTACGCCTCCAGAAATAGCAGAAGCTGCTAAAAACACGTTGCTCAAATTGTTGCCTGCTAAATCCAGAGTAAGGTATCAATATGCTTATGATTAATTCATTAAATGGAGACAAAGGAAACAAATAAAAAGTTCGTTTTCTGAAAATGTTATACTGTCCTTTATGAATGAATTATCATCAAAAGTATAAAGTTCGACTTTGTGGACACAGCACTTAATGTTGAGAACTACTCTGCCTATTGAACACAATGTTGATATTTCTAAGTACCTAAAATTAAAGGCATTCTTAAAGAGAAAAAGTGATGGCCATAAACAACAAAAGCCAAATTCCTGTCGCAACAAGAAATAAATAATTTCATAGAAACAGCTCCAGATGAATTATATTTATTTACAAAGGTGAGATGTTTAATATCTATTATTTTGTTCAATGTGTGAGTATTTCTTATTATTTAAGGTTGCACTTATCCTTGGAATATCAGGAGCATGCCAAAAGCAGGAGCTCACACAGTTGACTATAAACAATATAGAGGATTTGGGTACAGCAGCTGTGATAAAAATAAGTAAGTATCCAGAAAATTCACGATTACTGGACCGTTTTATACCATATTTAAAAAATATGCCAATCTGAGGCCACCAACCACTCAACTAAGGTTTTTTCTTAATTATAAAAATAAAAAATGCCCCCAACAAGTAATGGCTATAAACAAAATGCCATAGATAGTGGCAAAGTTTTTAAATCTTCCGAATCCAAAACAATATACTGGCCACACCTTTAAGCGTTCTTTTGCAACAATTTTGATAGATACAATAATAATAATAATAATAATAATAATAATAATAATAATAATACTCTCCCTAATTCACCCCCTTACGAGTGAATTTTAACCCCTGAAGTCGACTGAACGACTTGTGTAGGAGAAGGGACGGCTATTATTATTATTTGCCGTGGCGCTCCGGGGCGACTTAAGGATGATTGATGGTGCCATTTGACTTACAGGTGAGGAAAACCCGGAAAACCTCACCCACCATCATACATCATACAGGAGCAGGTCTTGCTGTATTAAAGAGCCACGGGGGATGCTAATAAAATAATAAACACCATTCGCAGCACAAGCACATTCAACGAAGAAGTTGCATGTAAAAACATTGAACAATGCTCTGAACAAAATTCTGAAACTACACAACCCAGATACAGTGCAAGTTTGTGTACTTCATCTATATAGCAACAAATTAATGTAGATCCACAAGAGACAATAAACACATATATTGGGGAAACCACTGAGAATAATAATAATGCAACATTACAAAATCCACTGCAATTTAGCAAATGTTATAATAACAATTTTACTTTTAACTTTTATAACGTCCCAGAAAAAAGTAAAACAAAATTATTAATAATTATTCAAGTCAAACAGTTTAGTTACAAACATTATTTCCTAATTATTATATAAGTTATCTCTACTTTAGATGTAAATTTTTATAAACTATTCTGTTAGTATCTATGCTTTAGTTATAAATGTTTCTTATTGTTATATTAGTTCTTGTTCTGCTTGAGTTATAAATATTTTTTAAACAATGTATTAGTTCTTGTCATTTCTACTGGTACAAAATGAAAAATATTCTGGAGGATTTTTTTAGTTTTCAGTACATGTGTGATATGGGTTAATTGACTTTCTCATTTAAAAAAGACGTTTTTTTTTAGGTTTTTGTATGTGGTCATAGGAAAAGTAGGTACACAACTCGTTGGAAAGTGTATTTCTCGCACTCGTTTAGTTTCCGCACTCGCCGCTACCCAGCTCGTGCTAAACTTCAACTCGTGCGAAATGTTGCACTTTCCACACTTGTCATGTAATATACTATTTTTTTATACAATATAGTCATGGTTTCTTTATTAGGATAACACTGTAACCCACACTGCACCGTCTGTCAATTAATACTTAATTTCCAACCGGCATAGAAAGAAAGCAGATTTGAGACAGTCTAAGAAAAAGTGGCGAATATAATAAATATGCTGTCAAAAAAAGATTACTAATACAGCTATGGCCAAACGAAAATGCGCATAAGTAGTGTAGCGTCTAAAACTATGATGTTAAAATTGTGAAATAAAAGTTAACAGTAAAAATCCTTTAAAATAATCGTATATCTTAAGTAAAGGGGCAGCAAGAGTTCGAAGCCATTCCTTACGTAAATTACCATAGGA